AGATAAAGTCCAGAATCTGGGAAATGAAAGGAGGTAAATATATATACAAAGACCCTCGCCAAGATTTGGGTCGAAGGAATAATTCGTTTACGAGATATCAGAGGAAATATTTTACCCAAATTTATAGACGCCATGCTGGAGCCCACCCGCATGAGCTCCAACATGGCGGACGGAAACCAACAGAAACATCTGTTACCGATCTTGCTACAAAAGCGTGAATTTACTCCTAGAGGAACTCGTAAACATTAAAGTAATACTTTTTCTAATACTTGAACAGTTTTGATAGCAAAATTCCTCGAAAAAAGTCACTTTTTTTCACCTAAATGACAGCTCCCTCGGCCGTCATGTAAATGCTGCGTCACGCAAAACGTTCGAAATTCAAGCTATTTAAGCGAAAATTTGTTCGAAAATTAGTTTTCAGATGCTCTAATACACCATGCATATTTAATTGCTGAAACAATCAATGACACACTATGTTTTGTTTCAGTGTATTTAGCACGCTAACCCTTTGTTTTAGTCAAGTGTGATCGATGACATGCTTAGTGGGCAAGTTGACACAGATTAACATGTTAAAGTAAAACAAAACGTATCTTGAAAATATAACTCTCATATAAATTTAATTTTTTATTGGATAGCCTCCATGCCAACTTTCAGTGAGCAAACAACAAAATTCCCTGCTCTTTTTGTGCTTTTGCAATGAAAAGCTAAAATATTTGATCCCCAGCTTTAGGCGAAAATTGTCCGCTGATTAAAGGTAAACAAACAAGCACTTGAAATTCGCTTCTGTGACTTCCGCTGTAGTGCAGATGAAGTTTCTTGTCTAAAAATGATGTTGAATGAATCTGCAAGTCTTAGAAAAACCTTGATCAGTATTATAACCATGACTGTTTCCCCTTGCTTTTAAAACTTTAGGTTACTGTCTACAAAAAACTTTCGATGTGTGTAAAAGCAAGAGGTTTCAAATTACACGTGACATTCCTCGATTTGCTAAAATCGAAGCAGTGCCACAAATGGTACACTCGGAGATTTCTCAGATCATTTATTCTGTGTTATCTTTGTCTTTTTTGTAGTATGTTTTGTGGTAAATTTTTGAAATTATCCCATCACAGAAACATTACATTTAAACTTAGAAAATGATTNAGTCAAGTGTGATCGATGACATGCTTAGTGGGCAAGTTGACACAGATTAACATGTTAAAGTAAAACAAAACGTATCTTGAAAATATAACTCTCATATAAATTTAATTTTTTATTGGATAGCCTCCATGCCAACTTTCAGTGAGCAAACAACAAAATTCCCTGCTCTTTTTGTGCTTTTGCAATGAAAAGCTAAAATATTTGATCCCCAGCTTTAGGCGAAAATTGTCCGCTGATTAAAGGTAAACAAACAAGCACTTGAAATTCGCTTCTGTGACTTCCGCTGTAGTGCAGATGAAGTTTCTTGTCTAAAAATGATGTTGAATGAATCTGCAAGTCTTAGAAAAACCTTGATCAGTATTATAACCATGACTGTTTCCCCTTGCTTTTAAAACTTTAGGTTACTGTCTACAAAAAACTTTCGATGTGTGTAAAAGCAAGAGGTTTCAAATTACACGTGACATTCCTCGATTTGCTAAAATCGAAGCAGTGCCACAAATGGTACACTCGGAGATTTCTCAGATCATTTATTCTGTGTTATCTTTGTCTTTTTTGTAGTATGTTTTGTGGTAAATTTTTGAAATTATCCCATCACAGAAACATTACATTTAAACTTAGAAAATGATTCTCGGCAGCTGTATTTCGATCTTCCTTCAACCCGTTGCATGTGACAAACGCAAATATGTATACATGTACTTTCACATGCTATACTCCAAAAATAAACACACTTTCTATACTTCAAAAGATAGACTTCATAACCATAATTTTCTAGCTTAAGTTTTATGATTTATCTACGACTTGGTTACGTAATGTTGATGTGTTAGCTCATGTTGTGCGGTTGAAGTAATTCGTTTAATATTATTTCAACCTTAAAATTGAAGGTGCTCTAAAAGAAAGCTACAAGAAATACGTTTGAGATGTTTGGGAAAAAAAAAAACACACTCCACATAAACTGAAAATTCAAAAAGTCTGCTTTAAATCCTTGACCCCTTGGTAGAAAATGTTTCAGCTTTGTTTTTCTGATCATGAAGTTGACTGATTATTTACTGATAAAAGCTTTGGCTTTCCCATAAGAATTACTGTGCAATGATTGCATTACAATAATGTTACTTTCACTTCTCATCCAGTAAGTTTGTGTGCGATGTACATGTACATGTAAGCACACTAAGTTGCACGCTTTAAATAGTATGGTGTCTTCTTGCATGTTTTGTCCTCACCCAAACCCCCAAATTTTCCTACCCAAAAGCATCCTGAAATTGAAAATTTTAAACCCAGAAAAATCCTTCGATTGTTGCTGTCACTTGAAATCCACAGTATTCCCCCTGGGATCTGCTTCCAAGATAAAAAGAATTAAAAATGCCAAAATTTGCAGTGATCAACAATACCTCTAGGTGCAAGTGGGCGTTACCTATGATTTCTGTAACTGCCTTTAACACTTGCGACGTAAGCATGAAAGTGAGGCCTTCTTAGGGCCACCAGATCTACTGCAAACTTTAAAGAAAGGGCAGTGAAAACGAGAACAATTTGTGATTTAGTTAGAGATTAAGAATTAACCTCAAAAGATTTTCCTTGAGCAGTTATAGTAAATAAAAGTGCAATGGAAAGTGGACAGTAGAGAACTAATTGTAGGCAAGGATCCTTCAGAAATAAATGAAACATCAAGTTTTTATAATAATACTTTATTCAAAGACTTTTACATTTAAACATGATACATATTTGATACGGAGGAACACAAGGTTATCCCTATAAAAGGTCCTGTAACTGAACTTTAAAAACATAAAATATAAAGACAAAAAAGCATGGGTAAAAATTATTAGAGTGGGTACAAAATGGTATAGTAAGAATGATATGTAAGGTGAAAATATTATATTTTACAGTTTAAACATAAGCTATTATGTCAATAAAAGTTCATCCACCTTTTTAAGCCTTTGTATTTGTTTTTGAGATTTGGGTGCTTCGTGCTGCATGCTTTGGTCTTCGTTTTTGAGTGCTTCCTTTTTGAAACTACCCCTTGGCTGTTTTGTTTTAAAGATAAAGGTTTGGTGAATGCTGAAGAAGGTAACCAGCTGACTGAACCTACTATTGGGGCTTTTTGAATGAAAATTAGCCATTGAAATTTTAGTGTCAAACCTTCCAGATCATTCATGATACGTTTCTGGGAAACTGCCCACCTAGTCTAGATACATGTATCCCTCCCCTAGGCCAACATTAACAGTAACTTTTCACTAAAGGGCAAACTGTTGCCTTAGTGGAGGGGTAGGTGGGTAGTTCTGGCCCAGAAACATATAATAATCCAAACTTCCTTCTGCATTGTGTTTGATAATAAGTTTCTTACATGTACACTGTATGTAAACTGTTTCATTTTGTCCTTAACTTCCAACAGACAAGAAATGGTTGCTGCATTTTATATTTACCGGTACATGGTTAGTGTTGTAAAGCACTGGATGCGCACAGACGTACATGTAAGTGTATCTCAGGTTAGTGTGTCAGAGTCTTTTAAAAGCTTTTAAAGAATAATTAATTTTTTTTCTTAAAAATGTGATTCCAGGTAGAGGACTTACTTGTAATATATTAACACTGAAGAAGTGTTCTCTGTGGAGAAGTATTTCCCTAGTCTCAGCCCCTTACCATTTTTTAATCTCCAAATTTTCACGAATGTTTTGTTCACCATGAATTGCTTCATGGGAAAATTTGACAAATGTTTTGACGTTGCTAACAACCTACATGTATGAAGACCTATGGTCTGTGGAGACCTGTGATGAACGGAGCCTGGAAGGCCCCAATTACACTGCCAATTCAAAAACAGACTACTCACACAACGGCAACATTCTACACTACAGCAGACTACATGGTGCACTATACTTCAGGTGCTACCAAATCAAAGCTACACAGTAGCATACTCCAGTCTTATAGCGAATGTGAGTCTCCAACTTACCAACAACCATTCAATAATTCTAGTCCCTATGGAAGAGACCTTGCTGCACAAACTACAGTCTACTGAGAGTAGATCAAGGTACCTGCAGATACCTGACTGCTACAAACTTTCTAATGGCAGGTTTGATGTAAAACATTTTTTACCAGTATTCTATTTCCACGTACTAGCGCTGAACTGCACTCTGATGCAACGTACAGTAATTGCCAGCTCTATATACTCCCTAGGCTATCAATCAAAGCCTTGTGACATCTTTATGAATCTACTCAGCAGTAGCCTGCCTTTCACTTTCTCTCAGTAAGGCAAACAGGATGCAGTTGCACCAAACTGCTGCACAGGGACTCTCTCATTTTCTTTTAGTGACCTATCCTTGCAACTAATAAACCACACTACCCTCTCGGCAGTTTGACGACAATAATTTTTCCCGTGGAGGTACACATTCAAAGAAGAGGTAGACTATTTTCCAAAAAACCTTAACTTTTTAAGCAATGCCTTACAGACTGCAAGCCCTAAACTGCAAGCCCTGGCCCTGAACTACCAAAGTCCCGAAGCACCCTACAAAAATAGCAAGAAAGGGAGGAAGATACGCAAGAAATAACCTGTCAAGTGAGTAGACTTGCTACCCTATAATAGTACTGATGAGAGTGTGAATATAGATCTGATACACGTGGCTGGACCATTTGCTAAGCATCTTGATGAGCTGATCTGGTAAGCCATAACAGGCTGCTGAAATAGCTGTGCCAATGCAAAATCTATGACCGATGTAGCAACCAGGGACCCCAGCAGCAGAGAGGGTGGATTGAATACCAGATATCAGCCATTGTCAATTTAGAGGGGTGCCTCAGAGAGAATGAAATGTGGGCCAGAAGTTGAGCCACAGACATGTAGATACTGGGTAAGAGGAGGGCGCATGGGGCAGAGATTACGTTTCTCAGCACCAATGTGAATATAGCAACCCTTGGCGAAAGGGGTCCATCGTAGAGTACTTAATGTTAATGTGGACATCGGTGACAGCAATGTGGATGTCGGGATTGAAGTGGGAGTTGTCGCTGAACTCACCAGCCCATAAGATACCCAAAAACTCAAGACAGCAGGCAGCCCAAAGCATTGTATGGTTGTAGTCAGAGAAGCTCAAGGACTGGAAAAAAATGTGCATTAGGTTGATTGTGTTGGGTTGGCGTTGACACTTATTAGAGCCTTGGTGACGTTTGATACCCTGCAACACAAGGTGTAACTGAAGGCAACCAACCAGCGGTGAAGGGACCAGATTTCTAAAAGGTAAACCTTTTGTGAATGAATGCTGGAGAGCATTGGCAAGATGGCAGCGGAAAAGGATGAGCATGTCTTCACTGGCTGATAGCTGATCCAGATAGGCTATTGTTCTGAGCACAGAAATTCAAGAAGAGGTGTTAGACAGAGGCATAAACTTTCCTAGTAGAAGGGGCAAGACCCAGAGGCACATAGAGGTGGCATTTTTCTGCCTGCAAAAATCCAAATCCAAGAGGAGCAGCTACAGAATCTGGGTTGTACTCAATTGACTGAGAGACCTATGTAGGAAGCCATGCTACTGAAAACCAGTGACCTTGGAAAACTGCTGCATAACCAAGAGCTCCAGAGGTATCTGAAGGAACCTCGAAGTAGGGTAGTGGAGCCCATGGAAGGTACTGAAGAAAGCTGCAACCATTCCAAGACTTGAAAAACTCTTGCCACCAGGCTAGGTCAAGAAAGGACTCCTGATTGAGACAAATCGGGTGGTCATCGCAGCAAAAAGCTCATAGCAGGTTGATCATTCAACACAAGAAAACGTGACCTCGGAATATGACCTTGAAGGCATGCTGAAGGTGACCTATTAGAGACTCCAGTTGCTTGCTTTTACACCATGACTTTTGTGACCATTCCTCCAACAAGGCAGTTATCCTATCAAATTTGTCCTGAGGAAGGCATACAATGTACCTGCAGATTAAGAGAGTCCAGTTCAATGCTTAGGATTGTTAGGCACATCTGCAGCCCTTCTTGTTTGTCTGGATGGAGGGGGTGCAAAGCTTATAAAAACAGTCAACAGACCTGTTCAGATTATGTTTAGAGACAGAGGAGCCGGGAGGGCCAAGAGTGTAAAAGTCATCAACTACGAGGTAATGCATCAGGAAGGTGACATAAAAGGCACCACACCATTTCATACTCAACAACCAGTGATCCTCTGTATGGACTGGCACAATGCAGTATGCATTTTGCACATTAAATTAATATTATTTTTTGCCATAAAAGAACCCCGCCCCAGCCGCATTATGGCCGCAATAATCTCATCTACCTTCATGTACTGTAGAGAAAAATCCTCGCCTGCAATCCCGTCCTTGACACTGTGGCCAGCAGGGCTTGACAGGTCAAGGATGAGATTTCCCAGGTTGGTGGCATTTGAGGATGACGTTGAAACAGCTCACATGGAGGACAGGGAGGAGAGGCTAAGTGAAGGGGCCCGCCACCCTGCCTGTCCAAATTTCCAATTGCAAGTAATTGTCAATGACATGAGGGTTTAGGAGTGCCAAAGCCATATTTGCCCCGCTGACTTCAAGGAAGTACTGTAATTGAAGCCAAGGTGAAAACCTTCACCAAGGCCTTGGACCACGAACACAACTTTGTCTGGGGTAGGATGAAGGCGGAGCTCATGCTGGTATCTATCCACTGTAATGGGAGTAGGCTGAGAAACCGGTCTTAATGGACAAATGGCGAGAGAATTCAACAAATAACCAGAACTTGGCAGACCCTGCTGCTGAGAAGGTAAAACAGAAGGAGCTGAAAAGTTATCATGAGAACCAAAGAGAACAGAATAAAAACTATGTACAGGTGAATTGGCTAGGAGAGGTGACCTAGTGATGGCGGTGAGCCTCCTTTGACAGAGAAGGGGAGTGGTACCATTCACTCCATGCTGAATGGTCAGAGCAGTGGGTGGTGCCTAAGGCTTGTTTTGCAGGAGTGAAGAAACCGGCAGTAGCCAAAAGGCATCCGTCATTCCAGGAGTGGCTATAGTGGCAAGACTGGTGATTACCCAAATATGCCAGAGGCTCTGTTAGTGACAAGGCAGAAGAAGTTGGGGAGCCTAAAGCGGCTGAAGTGGTAGTCAGAGATCTGGTGTGAAAATTGTAGAGGTCCGGGTGCATGTGAGACTAGTCGGTTGACCCAAGACTGCTGGCACTTCTTTTCTAAATTTCATTAATAATAGTAAAATAACCTACAAAAGTCTGAAATTATGATGAACTTGCTTTGCTTAACCTTTGGTTATTTCTTTTTCAGGCAGAAAAGAGTAATAAAGATTTGTCTTGAACAGATGTTCATGAGTGGCTCCAACATTAGCGAGGTAACTGATCTGATTACCTCAGGGAATTAGAGATCACCAGTCATCAGGTTGGTTTGTAGACCTTTATTGGCAATATCCAAGAAAATTTGGTTATCACAATACCAACTGCCCGACCATCCATCTCACACTTTCTAGGTGCATGCTTTTTGGGAGCCCAGGTGCAACCTGATATTGCACATTCATGTTGTGATAAATTGACAGCTGTCAAAACAGGGTACATGGTGTATCTGATGACCAGTATCACCTGACCGTACTGAGGGCTCAGGTATTGACCCATCAAGGTTGAGTATTTTTTGAAGTTCTCCGCTGACAAGTTACTAGTTTTCAAATGATCTCGCTATCAAGTTCAATATTTTAAAAATGCGTAGGAAATAAGTTGTGTTTATGAGCCACACTATTAAAATTTTGATTTCAAACTGACCTCGGATGCAAAAATTCAGCCAGCCATTACAGGCATGGAAGGCAGTTGCTTTTGGCGTTTCTCACCATGGTTACACATTGGTCATGCTCTACATCCAATTTTTATGTTCTGATTGGTGGGCTGTGAATTTATGTGGAAATTTTATTTATTTATTTTTTTCCACATTTTTACAATAAAAAATGTGGAAAATTTATGCTACATCTGGAAACGTTGTTTACTGATAGCTGAGGGTGACAGAGTTTTGTGTCATCTTGTGATGTTTTTATCTCTTTCTCCACTGGATGTACAAAATGAAATACGTCTGCCAGCAAGATTCTTCTTTTATTCTTGGCTGATTTGTTTATTGGAAGTTGAGAAGTGGGCCTCTTGTCAAAGTAATCGGAAATCCATTTTTTTTTAAAGAGGGTTGAAAAGTCTCAAGTGATTCTGGCTTTTAAGTTACTTGATGGCTTTCAGGAGCTACATCTGGACTGGTAAGCGTGAATAATTATTGTATTTGATGTTTGTTACTTCGGCGGAGCGCGAAGTAAAGGATTCGCGACGCTCAGGAATGTATCAAAGTTGCAATTTTTTGACAAGATTGGGCAAGCAAAGTCGTAGCTTTTCGGCTCTATTCGGCTATTTGACGAAGTGAGAGCCGAATTAGTTCGAGATATCTCGAGATCACTTCGATTTCTTTGATTAATTCTTTAACTTTTTGGAGGAAGAAAGAATTATTATTTTGGCTTTCCCGGGGTTTGAACCGACTCACCTGTGTGACCTGTCAGATCAGAGGAGACTCTAAGTTGAGGGATTAGCCGATTGCGCTACTGCGACCCAAGGTAGTTTGGAATGTGAAAAATAGTAATGTAATGATGCACTAGTTTCGGGACAAGATTGGGCGTGCAAGTTCGTGACTTTTCGGCTTGTTTCAACTATTTCACGAAATGAGATCGGACTACTTCGTGATATCTTGAGATCACTTCGAGTTTAGTCTTAAATTACTCGAGTAATAAATAGAGGATATTTTGTGGCCGCGCAGAGACACGAAATTTCTCTTCGAGTGTTGAAAAAATTTCACGAGTGAGCCCTCCTTTCGAACTGTTTTATGATGAATTTAAAGTTACAAAATGCTGCACAAAGACATTTTGTCTTTGTTGAGTGTTACGTAGTAAAATTGCTTTCATGCGTTGCGTGACTTTCTCGAACGTTCTCTACGTTTTTGGATTATTTATGAATAATTAATTAGGGCATGTTTACATTTCAGCATGAGTCAGCAGATTTGCATCAGTTGCTGAAATCATAAAATATGTCGAAAAGCTACTACTATTCGCCTGTTTAGTATTTTCTAGAACCTTATGTCAAACGGTATACAAGTTCCAAGCGAGTTCTTTTGACGAACTAAGTTTTTTCCCACGAGCTGGACTGCTGTGTTTAGTCAAGTGTGAGGAAGGTCGATTTTCAGGTTCTGTGTTTACAAGTTCGCGGAAGCCGTAAGATATCTGAAGTTCAAGTGAGAGTTTGTTATTATTGGTAGAGGCTGTTTAGTTTTACTCAAAGTTCAAGTCAAGTTTGTGTTGGCGGATGCTGTGTTTTAAAGCTCTGTAAAGGCTATGTTCCTTTGTAAACTTCCTTGTGTTAATCCGACATCCCTGCGTGCTGATAGTCAGTGAATAATTATCCTCAAAACATTCGAACTCGTGACTTTGAGTTTTAGCCAATTCCATGCTCAACGTAATTGACTCCTTACGCATGCCTTACATATCTTTAATCAGTACATGAGACTGCTATGCTGTTTTTGAAGCCTGATGTGACTAAGAAAAATAGAGAATTGTTTTTTAGAAGGATTTGTATGGAGTCATCACAGCATAACTGGGCTAATGTCGCGGAGACAATTTGTCCTGAAATGCTAGTTTTTGGCAAGTAGGCCTCTTGGATGTTGCTCTTTTCAGAATATCCTGACAAATCCCATAATTTCACACCTTACTCTTACCATATTTGATTTCTTACTATTCCTCCGCATTTACAATTAATTAGTTCCACAACCACGACGCCGAAGTGTACTCTAGCTCCGTAGCGTCTTGTTTGTTTGTTTTTTTTTTCTGGTTTCATGAAGTCAAGCATAGTTTAAATAAGCTGCTAGTTTATGCACATTTGTAAGATTTGAGACAATGAACTGACCAAGCAGGCATTTGTGGGAAGGGACGAAATACAAGCTCCGGTAAAAATACCTGCATGGGTGGGAAGTTAGACCAAAAACAGAGGGGTAGATTCTGTGGCATTTCTCAGAGGATGACATTATGTATGCTGTCCAAGACCAAGAAAGTTGAAGACGACTTACACTCGACCGATTATGAGAATGATGACTATCAATGGTTACCTACCTGCTAAATTTAGAAATCTATTTAGTTTTGGAAATGTTTGCTGACACGGGCCAGGAAGTCGTTGAATGTATGGTACAACGGGCCTGAGGTTAACCCTCCTAGGAGCAAGTGGATGTTGAGGAAGTCTTTTCACCCAGCTGTTGTTCCACAGCCCCTATTCAGGCAAAACCTTTTGATGTTAAAATTAATGTGGCAATTTGTCTTGAACAGGGTGTGGCAGATTGTGAGATGCATGTTTATGAGTGGCTCCAACAATAGAGAGGCAGCTGTATTAAAGGATGTCATTA